GAACAAATCAGAACTCCTAATATTTCACTTGATGGAAATGCTTTGGTGGAAATAGTGCTGACCACTAAAGTGGGCAAACCATGTGCACATGTGAAATGAATCAAAGACATGAATGCTTTCATTAAGAACCAGAATTATGTCATTATAAAACGTGAGATAGATTTCATCAGTTATACACAAGGGTTTTTTAATGCTTTTTCCTCAGCGAAATCACACTGAAAATGTACCACTGACCAGTATAGAGCAATTGTAAAAATAATTTCATCCCTAAGCTTAGATTAAATAAAATGAGAAATTAAATCAAATAGCTATTCAAATTTGAAGATAGGAAAGTTGAAGACCTTGGGGTTATTGAAAAACTTCACTTGGTGAAAACTCCAAAAATTGCACCTAAGGATGACAAAACTAGAACTAATACCTCATTATTTTGTAAAGGAGATAGGCAATTTTGAAAATTTTGTTTTTTTAAATTTGATGGCAAAAATACAACTACAAGACCAAATCCAAACATCGTAATTCAGAAAAGCTGGTATCTGTATAACCAACATGAATGAAGTTATTCTCCTGAAGTATTTGACAGAAATTTTAAAAATATTCAGGATCTATACCCAGCAGCATATGGTAAGAACTAGAGGAGGGAAGGTCTGGAGATACCAAGGAATATTACTAAAAACAGGTATCAAACACTGCCTCTATAGAAGTGACTTGAGAACTATAAATCTACAGAACAGCATTAGAAAAATATTTCAGTATTTAACTAGTATATGCAGTAGTAAATCTGAACACACCATTGCCTAATTAAAGATAACTAAAATGTGAAAAGGCGTTCAGAAAATAAACACATATGTACAATTTTACATTCTCTCATTCAGCAATTTAAAGCAAAGGTCAAAAGTTTAAGGTGGGTCAAGAAAAGTCAAAGCAACAAAAAGAACAAAATGCACAAATATTAATCAAAAACTTTTAGTCAATGTCATTTCTATCATCAGTTTTTCATTTTTGACTTTTAATAACTGAATGTTAATGTCATATCTGGCATCTGTTTCTCACTTTCCATTTTTAATAATTTGTTTAAATAATTCAGGATTCAATGGTTTTGAATGTACACTATAGATTATTAAGCTGTCTTGTTTCTTACCAATTCTGATCTTAATTCTGATGTATCAGTGGTCTGACTGTACATGCACAGCTTACTCAAGGGTAACTCCTACATCAATAATGAGTCTTGATGGTTATCTTGTTCAATATCTGCCAATTTTTTTTTTCAGATAAAGTGTTTGTGTTATGGAGCAATGAGATGTCTATGTAGCTTCCATGTTTTTGGCATCTTTTGTTTTTTAGCATGGATCATACTTTCTCATAGATTTCTCCCCATCCTCACCTTTGACAACTTTGCATTGTATGTTGATTTGATTTGGAGTATATTATCAAGTTCTTGTAGGTTTTCTCTAGTATTTTATCCATAGCAACCAATGTTGCTGCATAAGCTGCAATTATTTTCACAGGAATCTTTTTGCAAATATTTACTATGAATATTACAATATGTAATGACAAAATGTCCCATGAAATAGTGTTTATTTTTATTTCTGGGTATATTAATTCTGCTCTGCTATCATCTTTCTTTGCCTCTCCAAGGAGCTCCTGTAAACCATCCTTCCATTCTAGCTCCAACTTCCTATTGTCTTCTACCTTCACATCCCATTAATCAACCAGACCCTTTCACCATCTGCCTGACTCTACCACTTTGAACCTCCTTAACAGGCCAGGATTTTCTATAATGGGCCTAGACTGCTGCATATAGAACCTCTAGAACTGATTCCCTTAAGTCCCATATACTTGTCTTTCATATTCCCAACATGGGCCCCGATCCAATTAATTGGTAATTGAATTAATACAAATTAGTCCTTTTAACCCACTTATAGCTATCTACTGTTCCTAGATGCCAGGCTGATTCAACTTCAGACCCTATCCAGCTATCCACTTAAACCATCTCATCTCTACTTCTTTTCACCTGGAACAGTACCTCCACACATGACTTAGACCTTTATAGTTCATATTTCCAGTCTCTGGGGAAATTAATCCATTCATGTTTGGACCTTTTGCTGTAGGCATCAACCAAGTGGATTGATAAACATAAATGTCAGTCATCTTAATCCACTATACCTCCTGACTGGTTCTAAATACCAGGCCATGTTTTACATTCACACCCTATCCAGGCTTCCAGCTTTCTACCCAGGTCTTCTTACCACCTGCCTGCCACTGCCTTGCTTCTCCTCATCTGAACCATTATCTGCCATACCAGACCTTGACCTTGACAATTTTGTTCCTTCAGCATTCACGTTCCCTTTCTCTGTAGAAATTAATGCACTTATCTTTGGAATTCCCATCTCATTGCCTAGAACATTTGATTGGCTGCTGAGTTGCCCTCTTAGCCAATTACATCTACTCTTTGGCCATGTTTCATCTTTACATCCCATCTAGCCATTCAACTATCCACCTAAGCCATCTCAAAATCTGCCTGTGCACATTACCTTTTCCCCTTCAGTAATAAGGCTAAGATGTCTACCCATTACAGGAATTCTGATGGCAGCACTCTTTTGTACTGAACTACATTACCAATTTAGCTAGGGCTATACATCAACTCAAATCTTTGCATGTATGCCCTATATATGAGTACAGGGGTTCTTCTCTTAGCTCTGCAGGTGTACAAATTCAAAGCCTTAAAGGGTTTACATTAAATGATTCTTGTCCCCTAGAAGTCTTCCAACCATGTAGAAATCTATTGCATACCTGACTCAGACCTCTACACTGTCTTCCTCAGTAAAAAAAGAGTACTTTCCTGAGAAAGTTACCATGTTTGGCGTTTCTTTGCTTTCTGTAATGAGGTATTTTATGTGGTGTGTGCTTATGGACAAGATTTTAGTTTGCAGTTTGACAGAGGGGAGATAATGTATGCTTTTCCCATTCCCATTTCTTCCATGAGAGACTCCACTTCATTCTTTTTTTTTTTAAATTAAAAATTTTGTCATTATTTATTTATTTATTTTTAGTTTTTAACATTCATTTCCACAAGATTTTGAGTTCCAAATTTTCTCCCCATCTTGTCCCTCCCCACCCCAAAATGGCATGCATTCTGAATATTCCATCCCCTAATCTGCCCTCCCTTCTATCTCCCCCCCTTTTATCCCCTTCACCTTCTATTTTCCTGTAGGGCCGGATAACTTCTATACCCTATTGCCTGCATATCTTATTTCCCAGTTGTGTATGAAAACAATTTTTAATATTTGTTTTTAAAACTTTGGATTTCAAATTTTCTCCCTTCCTCCCTCCCCACCCACTCTTATTGACAAGGCAAGAAACTTGATACAGGTTATACTTGTATAGCCATGCAACACACTTCCATAGTAGTTATGTTGTGAAAAACTAATTATATTTCACTTCATCCTATCCTGCCCAGCATTTATTCTATTCTCTCTTTTGACCCTGTACCTCCTCAGAGGTGTTTGCTTCTGATTACCCTTCCCCCCCAATCTGCCCTCTCTTATCCCTTTCCCCCATATTTTTCTGTAGGGTAAGATAGATTTTTGTACCCAATTGAGTGTGTATGTTATTCCCTCCTTAAGCCAAATCCTATGAGAATAAGATTCAGTCACTCCCTCTCACCTCCCCCCTCTTTTCCTCCACTGTAAAAGCTTTTTCTTGTCGTTTTATGTAAGATAATTTACCCTATTCTACCTCTCCCTTTTTCCTTCTTCCAGTATAATCCTTTCTCACCCCTTAATTTTATTTTTTAGATATCACCCCTTCATCTTCAACACTCACTCTGTGCCATCTATCTATCTATCTATCTATCTATCTATCTATCTATCTATCTATCTATCTATATAATTTTTTCCTTCCAACTACTCTAATACTGACAAAGATTTCATGAGCTACAAATATCATCTTTCCATGTGGGAATGTAAACAGTTCAACCTTCTTATGATTTCTTTCTCCTGTTTACCTCTTCATGTTTCTCTTGAATCTTGTATTTGAAAGTCAAATTTTCTATTTAACTCTGGTCTTTTCCTCAGGAATGCTTGAAAGTCCCCTATTTCATTGAATGACCATTTTTTACCCTGAAGGATTATATTCAGTTTTGCTGGGTAGGTGATTCTTGGTAGTCCTATCTCCTTTGCCCTCTGGAATATCATACTCCAAGCCCTCTGGACCCTTAATGTAGAAGCTGCTAAACTTTGTGTTATCCTGAGTGTGTTTCCACAATACTCGAATTGTTTCTTTCTGGGTGCTTGCAATATTTTCTCCTTGACCTGAGACTGAGTGGCTTTTAAAGCCCTTCACAACATGGCTCCTTCCTACCCTTCCAGTCTTCTCATACCTTATTCCCCTTCTCACACTCTGACTCAGTAATCTTAGCCTCCTTGCTTTTCCTCACACAAGGTACTCCAACAGGATTGTGCATTTTCCCAGGCTGTTCCCCACACTTGCAATTATCCACCTTCTTATCTCTGCCCCTTAGCTTCCTTCAAGTCTCAGCTAAAATCTCAACTTCTGCAAGAGAACTTTCCTTGTTTCCTCAGACACATAATACTTCCTAGCTGTGTGACTCTGGGCAAGTCACTTAACCCTTACCACCTCACTAAAAAAAAAGAATAACGAAAGTTTCTTCATAAGGATCCCCCTTACAAGATCAAAGTTACAAGTGCTTCATAAAGAAAGAAGTACTCTTTGTTTTCTTTATTCATATCTTACTCAATCTCTCTCCAAACCTAACAGGGTAATGAGGGACTGGCCAATGAAAGCTCCGCTCTTATGAGCTTGAGAAGCATTTGATGCAATCCTCCATGCAGACTTTGGAGTATGTGCAGGTGTTCTGTGACTGTTTCCATTTTGCTTATCATGTGATGGGGAAAGGCTGTTCTATTGGATTTTGAAATAAAACTGAACATACATACAATAGGCCCTAACAACTCAATCTTGCTTTTTTTTTTTCTTACCAGGATATGTTTGAGTGAGGAGGACAAATTGTAGTGGATCTCTTGGGGCTCAGTTCCATCACAGAAGACAATTGGGAAGCCTTTCTTCACCATGTGGTGAACACCCTGGAAATAGCCACAGAATACCTGATCTGAAGTCCACATGGAGGACTGCATTAGGCCAAACATGATATATGTGCTCACAAGGACTAGACTTTCAATGGCCAGTCCCCTCTTACAAAAGGAAGAGGATCTTTACAGATCATCAAATGTCAGATACAAACATCTCTCCTAGCTTCTCTTTTCTTAAAGATGGAGTAAAAATTTCTATAATCTTTAGCAAAGGATTTTGAAACATAGATGTGGGGGTAGAGGAAGAGTGATAATGGAACAAAAAATATTTAGAAGAGAACAGAAGGAAATTCAGGATTTTAGACAAGTGAGGCCCTTTTATTACTATGACATTAAACTTAATGTAAGTAATAAACTATTCATGATAAAAGTTCACACTTTCATGTTCTTTTTTTAAATTTTTGTCTATTAAAATGTTCATGTTTGTTAAGTTCATAATAAAAAAAAAAACCTGAAGCTACCCAGGATAATAGACCATCAGAGGGATGAAGTTCTGTATTTTAGGACTAGGAACAAAAAAGAGAACATAGTCTATTGAGCAAAACAAGTCCAGAAATTGATGAATGGGATGGTTGCATGAGTATGTGGTTACAGATTTAAGGTGAGGAGGAAGGGGCAGTGAGTGTTTGCCTGTGCAATTGGTAATTTGTGGAAGTAAAGAGTAACATCTTTGTATGTCTACAGAGACAATGTGGCCCTGAGTGGGGACTGTGTTAGTAGGGATTGATTCAGGGAGGCTTGGTGGAGGCAAAGGGAAGAGAGGGAAGAAAGACAACCACATCAGCACTCAGTGACAAAATTGCCTTTTTGGAGCTCAGGAAGAAATGTCCTTATTAATTCTCTTCTCCTTGGTCTCTCAGAGAGAAACAAAAAGAATCAAGCCTATTCTCTTTTCCTGTTAGGGCTCACTTTGAGGCTGATAGCTTTTCTCATTTTCTTGCTTCTTTCTGAAAATTTTCAAGATTAGAGGAAATGAAGAAATGAAATTGAAATAACAAGTGAGGTTGGAGGAGAAAATGTTTTAGAAGGTGAGAAGCCTGAAAATAACAAGAGAGGGAATGGAAGGGTGGGGGGAGATATATGTGTATATATATATATATATATATATATATATATAGAGAGAGAGAGAGAGAGAGAGAGAGAGAGAGAGAGAGAGAGAGAGAGAGAGAGAGAGAGAGAGAGAGAGAAATAAGGGTCATTGAATGGTAATTAGACAATCTGACTGGTGCATCCCAATGAGACCCATACAGACAGAGATTATTCAGCCTGGGAAGGAGAGCAGAAGGGGGCTTGAGTTGGTATATGTAAGAGAATAAGAGAGACTGATCAATGCCACTCTAGGAGCCAGCTTGATTTTTTCCTCCCTCGTATCCCCACATAACACACAGAAAGAACTCTCATTCTTCAGCTGACTCTCCTCCCATCTTAGCTCTGTCATTTAGTACAAGATGCCAGAATAGACCTAATGTGCCTGAGTACTATGGAAAACCTAAGCATCAGCTCAGACGCATTACATCAAGCAACTGATCAACTGACCAATATTCATTAACATCAACTACATGCAAGGGGCAAGTCGATTAAGCATCAACCATGTATGAAGTACTATCCAGCTGACTAGAAATAAGGGGCAAGTATTCTTTCAGGCTGATGCCCAGAGGTAAAACAAGCCGTGAACTTTCTCTCATATTAAGGAAATAGGGCATGCAAAGATACTGTAAACACAGTGAGCAGGATTTAAGGTATCTTGACTTGAGAATCTCACTCTTCACCTTTGGATCTTATTTGGCAGTCAGAAGAGTCAGAAGTGTGTGTGTGTGTGTGTGTGTGTGTGTGTGTGTGTGTGTGTGTGTGTGTGTTTCTTTGGGGATTATATTGGAGTACCTCTTGTGGAGCACATGTGGGGATGGACCTATGGGGGTCACCTTAACAAGTATGTGCTCAGCTGTCCAGACTGCTTCTAGGCAGGGAGATACAGCTTATCACTGAAGGACCTAGGCACCTGAGGGTGATGAAGCAGTCCCTTCATTGGTATCTTGATCCAGTGATATCAGCAAGGGGTTTCTGTATCAAGAGATCTGGTCACTGAGCCAGGAATGACCCACTCAGTGCAACTTAAAGGAAGTGACTCTAACCTCTAGTTCATCTTATATCCTCATTTTTAAACATGCTAAAGCTCTTTGAGAATATCCCTGGAATACTTGTGGAGGGGCAGCTTGACCCTAATCACCCCAGTTGAAATATGCTGGCCTACCTAGGTAAGCATGTGACTGTGTATGAAAACCCTAGATTCCCATTATGCCTTGTTTCTTTCTTGAGTCCAGGAGACTGAGAATTGCTACTGAAATGGATGTTTTCATCTTTGAAAGCAATCTCGTGAATTCCAGAGCATATCAGGAGTACCCTGATACCCTGCAGCTAGTAGGGAAGCTTTTGGAAAAGATGAGCACAACCATTTCCAGAAAATAAGATCTGAAGGGACTTTTTAAAACAATGCACAGCTGAAGTGAAGATAAAATCACAATTTAGTCGTCTACAATTTTGGTGTTTTAAGGCTCAATCTCCTGGGAGAGTATAGCAGTGGTTATAAGTTACTGCTGCTGCTTAAAGTTTTTATTAATGCAAGTTTGTGAGTCTTCCGTATTTTTAACATTTCTTTTGTGTGAAAGAAATAAATAATTGTCCTTCATCTGATTTATATTGTTCATTGTGCTTTTCCTCCTTTTGAAAAAATCTCTGGTGAAAATTACTTAAAGGTTACTTTAAATTACTTAAAGTAACCTTTAAGTAATTTTCTCCAGGCTGCGGGGTAGAATTGAAAAGGGCCAAATAGGTTCTATATATTGATAAACTAGTATAAAGCATACTGAGTGCTTGTAACTGGGAAGCTTTTCCTCTTTTCAGTTAAAGTGCTTATCAGTTCAATGGGCTAGAAAGGAGTGACTCTTGAAAGGAAGACCCTAACTTTGCTATCTTTTCCCTCTTCTAAATTATTGACCCTATTGGAAGGTGTGGAAAAGGTCAAAGACTACAGGAGCTTTGGCATTCTTTAACTGTGCCATAAATTATATGATCTCCTCTCCCTCTGCAATCCTGATCAGGATATCCTCATTTTGCGCTTCAGTTTATAGGAGTTTGACAGAGACCCTGGAAGGAGAAGAAAGTAAGACCACAGAGAATCTGAGGGTCTAGGGCAGGGATATAGATTAGGGACCAGAAGACAAAGGGCACAAGTCACAGAGAAGTAAAATCTAAACAGTGTCTGCTATTTACATGCCCTCCTTTAAGGACCAGTCCCAAATAAACACATTCTTTTCTCTGGGGGAAGAAGAAAGGGGGAAGACCCTGGATGCCTTTGATTTAATCAAGTTTTTGATCAAAGCAGCAAACAGCAATGACTTCAAAAGCCTGATGATGAAACATAAGTCCCACCTCTTGGCAGAGGGGCGATGGGCTAGAAGTGAAAAATTAGATATGCATTCTCAGACATGGCCAACGTGTTGATTTGTTTTGCTTGATTATACATATTTGTTAAAAGGGAGGGTTTCTATTCCAAGGGAAGGGGAGGGGGACACGGTAGGTTAGTAGGTAGTGATGGATATGCAAAAAAGAAGCATTAATAAAACATTTTTAAATGCACAGAAGACAGCAAAAGGAAATGTGGAGGGGGACACAAACGATGGAATTATTTTATCACTACCTTGTTAAATTTAATATATATATATATATATTCTTAAAAATTAAATGATATGTAACAAACAACCTTACAGGTTCTTATACAATCCCTTTTTTTGTTCTTTGTTTATTGAAATGTTTGCATTTGTTGATGATTGTTAAGATTACTATAAACAACATTTTTAAAACAAGGATAAATGCTAATAAATTCATGTAAGTCATGCAAAGTTTAAAAAAAAACAAAGGAAAAATGATGCGAGCATAGAAACAGATGCTCTTCAAGCAGGTTATCTTAGACCAAAAAAAAAAAAAGGACTCTGAAGAACAAAGGACACCATCTGAAATGCCTGGGTTGGCTGAGCGATTCTGAGGGGGTGGGGTGAGGAGGGGGTTTCACCAAGGGAGTGGGGAAAGCATGCAGGAGGGAGTTGGAGGGGGAGGGGGTGCTGTTTAGCTGCCTGCTGCAGTTAGGCAAGAAAGATGCCCTGTGTATTTTCTTTTCCTGGGAAGACGTGGTCTCGATTTAATATGCAAAGGTAGATGGCACAGCATTGATGTGCAGTCACTGCCTCATACCATATTTCAAACAAAGAACATGCAACAAAGGGCTAACCAACATGGGGATTTGTCAGAATTCAGCAGTGGAGAAGATTGATCTGAGCAAAGTGGAGGGGCCCATGACCTTGGGTTTGAGACCTTTAGAGCTGAACAGTTCAGGAGATTGACCTGAACAAAGAAATGATTATCATTATCATTATTTAATAGTCTTAAACTGTTGGGAGGGTGGAATTAGGTGGCACAAGATTTTTTTTTTAATTCCACAAGACGTAAAGAAGATATAATAAAATGAAAAGGAGTAAGAGGAAATTTGAGAGATTTCTGGAATGAATGGGAAGGAAAGAAAGAGGAAGATATAGCAGCAGATAAAGAGAAAAATCCCTCCCCTGAGGCTTCTGCATGTCTGTGTCCTTCAAAAGGAAAGGTAGAGAAAGAAGAGACAGACTCTTACTTCCAGGATTGAGATCTGGGGGATGAAGGAAGAGGGTACAGATGAGGGAAGAGTAGGAGGCTGCCAAACTGGGGCATGGGGAGGGGAAGGATGAATGAAAAGTAAACAAATCTGGTATCAACGGCAGGGCCCCCTTTCCAGAAAAGAATAGAAGATACCTTCATATAATTTTTCTGGCAGGCATTTCCACAAGCAGAGGGAAGCACTGAATACAACAGCAAAACAAAATCAACATAGTAACAATTATTGATATGAAATAGCAGAGGGTTTTCAAAATTTCCTTGATCCAGCCCATTCCTGGCAAAAGACCCCAAATGTCCCAGTCAGAAATCTCTTCATGTTTCATCTCCTCCAGACCCTTTCCTATCTTCCCAGTGTGATTCAGGGGAATCAGTAATATTAAGAATTTAGTCAGACACATGTGTGCAACATTCACTTTCTATTGATGTGCATACAACCCCTTGACTGGCCAAAAAATAGTCAAGGGCCACTTGATTTTGCAATGCCAATTGTCTAACCTCAGTTCATTAATTATTCATTTATATTGAGGCAAGCCCAAGTGAGTTTACCTCCTCTCCCTCCCAGCCCCCCCATCTGTTTTTGGACTGTAATCTCATATTGGCTTCAGCATTGAGTTCAATTATGGTGCTGAATTCGTTTAAAATAGGA